AATTACAAGCTGCATATTTGATAGAGGGCTTTGTAAGTATGGTGATAAATCACAGGTTCACTCAGGCTGGAGTGCAGTGGCACGATCTTGGCTCACTGCAACTTCCACCTCCCGGGTTCAAGCAATTCTCCTGCCTCAGCCTCCCAAGTAGCTGGAATTACAGGTGCCCACACCATGCCCAACTGATTTTTGTATTTTTAGCAGAGACAGGGTTTTGCCATGTTGGCCAGGCTGGTCTTGAACTCCTGACATCAGGTGATCCACCGCCTCGGCCTCCCAAAGTGCTAGGATTACAGGTGTGAGCCACTGCACCCAGCCATACTCCAACTTTAATACTATACACATGGACATATTTTCTGGGAATCTTGTTAAAATGTAGGTTCTGATTCAGGAGATCTGACGGGGAGGCCTGAGATTCTGCATTTCTAATGCATTTCTAGGTGATACAAATGATACTGGTTCAAGAACCACATTCTAGGAAGCACAAGTAAAGCACTGGATTGCCACCTAAGCTTTAGATTAGAAACACCTGGGAAGCTTTTAAAACTGATGGTCAGACGTTACTCCAGACTAATTAAATTCGTATCCAGGCATTCATGTCAGTATTTTTCAACGCCCACCACTACCACCACCGCCACCAGGTAGTTCCAATGTGCAGCCAAGGTTAAGAACAACTGCTCTAAAGCAGTTGTTCCCCCTCTGAAACCCCGGCACACTTTTCAAAGAAACATCTATGGTCAAAGTGGAGAGCCTCCTAATGAGAGTATCTCTAGAATTTCATAATCACAATGTTAAGAATCTGAATATACAGCTTTAGCTTACTATTAATATTTGATTTGTTCCAGTCATTCTCTGTCAAAACTGATTCAAATAATACTAAATGAGCTTTAATATATGCTGTTAAAACTGTCTCTTTAGATGCCAGCCCTTGCTTCCCACCTATACCCCTCTAGATGAATCTGCCCTGACCCACAGCTGAAGAGGGGCTGCACTCAGGGAGCTGTTTGTAGCATCTGCCCTCCTGCACTTTTATTTTATTTTTGAAGCGGAGTCTCACTCTGTTGCCCAGGTTGGAGTGCAGTGGTGCAATCTCCACTCACTGCAACCTCCACCTCCCAGGTTCAATCAATTCTTCTGCCTCGGCCTCCCAAATAACTGGGATTACAGGTGCCCGCCACCACTCCAGTCTCCTCCTGTGCTTTTCAATGCAGCTATTTTTGGCAAGGGTGGACAACTGACTGAAATAAGCCAGTTTGTTCATTTATTCATTATTTTTAAAAAATATTAAGTGCAGAATTCTCTGGTGAGCACTGCCTCTATTCTGAGTTAATCTAGCAAGAAAGATAATTGCTGTGTAATCTAGTATATGCTTTGTTACGGGCAAGTCCAGGGTGCACAGAGCAAAAACACCTTTTGTAGTCTGGGAGTGGGGAGAAAGAGGTAGTTAAATATTTTAAGGACAGCTTCAGATGAGAGTGACAGCTTAGCTGAGAGACCTGAAAGGAGAAGTAGGAGTTGGTCAGGTGCCAGAAAGGAATAAGAATGGTCTAGGCAGAAGAAATTGCATGGATGAAGATCCAGATGCAAAAGAAAACATGACCAGTTAGGAGAATTGGGAGTTCAGGGAGCTCTAGTGTAGACTTCGTGGATGGAGTCAGAGCAGAGCGTAGGTAACAGACATGTTGGGAAGGCATGGGTACGTCGGTCAAGTTATCTCTTTCAAGAGCTGTAACTGGAATACTGGGTAGTGGAGATGATTGGCTATGGGGATGTAGATCTGGCAATGTCATGTAGGGTTGAAGCCTGAAACGAAGTCCTAGCAAACCAGGTCTACATGCTAAGGATTCCTCCTTTTAAGTTCAGGTCTCCCTTGGTACTCCCATACTTGATTTCCCACCGCTGAATGCCTATACAATTTATTGTATATTCTTATGAGGAAGGAGACCTAAGCATCTAAGACCACCTCCCCCTTGACTTCCACATTGCATTTCAATAGGAGAAGTAAAGGCTGGCAGACTGGGAGCCACCTTAACTGCCCTCCTATAAATAACAGGCATGGTATGGAGGAATCCTTCCAGAAGGCATTGTTTTTACTTAAACAGGATCAAACCCCCACCTAAGCCACATACCCCATGCCTACTCCATGGACCAAAACCCTTTCACGTGTAATTTCTAGAGTTGTAAGCCTTTATAAGGACAGGGATTTTCATTGTTCAAGGGCTTGGCTATTTGGGGCATTCAGATCTGCCACAGCCCCCGGCCGAATAAATCACCACTTCCTTCCCAGTTCAGTGTTCGAGAGGTTTGTTTTGTGGCCTTTCCTGCTTTACTTACAGTGAATGGATTCCCTTTAACATAAGCTAGTACAAGAGGGTTTGTACTTCTTGCTATCAAGTAGTGGAGCCAAACTTCTGATTATTAGGGGGCCACTGGATGTTAATTATACCTATAGAGAGAAGGCAGGGTCCTGTTAGGAGTGTTGGTCTGTTTATTTGGGGAAAGGTATTGACAGAAGGCTGAAGCATTTTTTAAAAATTTGCTGTTTAAAAAACTTGGAGCTTATACTGCTATAAGACTCATAAGCGCAGAAGCATCTGTCTGCCTTCAAGAAAATAAATGGTTAAGAAGGTCGCTTTAACAACCAATCAATCTAATTGCAAGCAGGAAAAACCCTGAGTGACGGCTGACCCTGCAGACAGAACGCTCTTGACAGTGCTTTTCAACGTTTTTTTTTTTTTTTTTTTTTAATTTAACAATACGGGGAGATATTTTTGGTTGTCACAACTGAGAGGTGGGGTGCTTCTGTCATCTAGTGGGTAGAGGCTAGGAATGCTGTTGAACATCCAACAATGCACAGGACAAGCAGGAATGAGTCAGCCCGAAATCTTGATAGTGCCAAGATTGAGAAACCCTGCTCCATGACCACAATAAACAGAGCTTTACCCTTTCAGGAACTGAAAACAAAAGTTGTTTCTATGGGATGGTGAAAATGACTTTGGAACTCCCTTGATCTACGTCTACAGTTGCCACGCAAAGTAAGTCAATGGTTTTCTAGTCCTAAAACAAGAGTGTGAAGTGTCCCTTTATCAGGACAGGAATATCTGAGGACTAGAGTTGAACATCCAGGTGACAAACTGTTAAACAATGGTGTCCACAGAGGGCTGTGTTTATCCTAGGGTGGAAAGAAGATAAGGCCCCAGGCTTTGAGAGCAGAGCTTTATTTACATTCTCCCCCTTAAAAAAAAAAAAATTAAAGTTGCCTTGTGCCTTCATTTGGTTTGGGTGTCAGATAGTCAAGTGTTAAATATAGTGAGAGGCCTCCTGAGAGAAGAGCAGACATTTCTTTGTTTGAAGGGCTGATGGTGGGAGCTCACTTCCTTGACGGTGTTCTCATGCTTCTGGCCATGGGCTAAATCAGTCAAAACTGTCAGGTTTTGTTTACATCCACGCAACACTACTCCAACTAGTGTAGTCATTGGAACAAATGTTCATAGTCATGAGGATACAGAAGGATGACAATGATTAGATTCCAAGGGTAAATAAAAGCTTTCTATTTGAGCAAAAAGGTAAAACACTATGCAGTCATCTTTTTTGGTGTTCGTGGCACATCATAACAGACCTCACAAAAGCAATTAATATTCCTATATTAGGATAACTTTGCATTATTAAAATTACATAAGTGTACAACAGTTGGAAACACGGCATTAAATACAACTTTAAAAGTCTAATTTTTACCATGTGATAACCATATCGAATTTTGCGAATATTTTGTGAGACTTGGCATTAGATGGCGCTCACCGTTACTAAAAGCCTGAGCAGTGCTTGAACACTAACAGGCACTCAAAAATCCATCTTTGTTGCCAGGCAATCCCGTGTACAGGTCAGGTCACTTTTCTACGTCTCAATTTCCTCACTGGTAATGTGGAAGTGGGAGCCGCCCCAATAGCCTCGCAACTCAGATAGCTTTTGATTTTCTGACTACAGTGGTTGAGTTGAGACAGATCGGCTGCTGCAACCGCCGCCTTTATAGCAACTCGGAAAAGTCAGACTGGGAAAGTGACACAGTAGACAGACGCTCTGCAGTTCTGGCCGGGGCGGCGTCTCAGCCGCTCACACCATGTGGGCAGCAAAGCACAAACTCCTTAACCACGTGGTGCCTCCATTCCCCCAGGGAGTCCCATTACAGGATTACTTCCAGCAAAACCAATCTTCAAGAAAAAAGGAACGGGTCTCGCCCGGATATAAGGAAGCACTCTGAGGATCCGCCACCACAGCACAAACTTAGTTTTTCCCTGGGTTCAACATGAGCCGCACAAAACCAACTTCCGCCCCAACGGCGTTGCGTTCGGAAGGCGGGGCCCGGGAGTCACGTGAGGCAGCGGAACTCTGGCCTGGCTAGGCGCTCAGGTGGCCGCCCTAGGCCACGTAATGTCGGTTGTTCCATGCAGGCCAGGGTGGGGACCGTCTCTATCGCAGGCATGAGACAAGCCCAGCTGCGTCGTGTGTGGTAATCTGAGGGCAAGAAGAACGATGTGGAGAGGTCCCCAGTTTCCTTACTGTGGCACAGCCGCTTTGAGGGCCAGCTTCCTTCGGCTTCCTCCCGACTCCCCTGCTTCCCCCCGTAGAATTCCCGTTGGTATTGCCCGAGCCCCTCCTCCCTCCGCGTAGCCCCCGCCCGCCGAGAACTAGGGCCTCTCACGTGACCCCAGCGCGCTCCCGCGGGGGAGCGAAGTCTCGGAGGCGGTGTTGCAGGGTACTGAGGGGTTCAGCGAGCGTTGGGCACCGCACTTTTCGCCCAGACGCCAGCACTGAGGACACGATGTCGCGGCTCTCCGGCTCGCTGCTTTGGGCCGCCACCTGCCTGGCCGTGCTCTGTGTGTCGTCCGCGGAAGAGGACATTGAGCTCCCGAATGGTACGACTTTAGTGCCCATCTCCAACGTAACCTCGGCGCCGGTGACGTTCCTCCCGCTGGTCACCACTTCGGCACCAGGTAGGCGCGGGCCCTACAGGCTTCCCGCGCTCCGCCGCCCCGCGGAGCCGCACTGCCTCTCCGCGGTGCGCGGACCAGGGTCGGGCGGGCAGACAGCGCTTGGGGTGTTGCGGCGACTCCGGCAACATGGCGGCCCGCCTGGAGTCCACTCGCGGCTGGGCCGGGTGGGGAACGCGCCGGGGGGAAGGGGACGCGCGGTTTCCCGTGGCCGCGGGGCTGGTGCCGACCTCGAAGTGTTGCACATCGTTGTGCGTTTTAAAAGTGCATCGTAATTCCTAGCCTCACTTGGGGGTCTGAAGTGGGACATGGCTTCTTTCCACGGGGGCAGCAGTGGGGTTGAGGATGGGGCCGGGCGTCGCGCCTCAGGGTTGGCGGTGAGACCGAGCTGTCCCTCTCCGGGGACTGGTAGTTCACCCGACCGGCGCCGGTCTCCGGAGGCAGCCTACTCCGGAAGTCCGGGAAAGAGAAACTTAAAAGACGGTAATGCTCGTTCGTGTCTCAGACTTGAGTCTGAGAAACTCGCTTGAGATTTAATTACATTGTTTTGGCAGATAGGAATTGAATATAGCTTAGGTTTGAGGACGTAGTTAGTGAAAACTTCACACTCCATGGTATGTAAAAAGGAAAAGTACCCATGTATGTACCTGGTGCTTTGCGTACGTATCGTAAGGCTAAACTGGAAAGTAGTGAAACCTAGGAGGTAGATGCAGAGACGGAGAAGAGTAAACTCTCCCGACAGTGTATGTTTATTATTTTTAAAATTATTTAAAATTTTCTTCACTATGTCCTGTGCTCAGGCACGTATGTTTAGTAGGTAATTTGTGCCCAGGTCTGTGGGTTTTCTAAAACCCGATCAGGAGCATGTCTTTTGTTCAACTGTGCAGTCGAGTGGGGCTGGTTAAGGCATACATACATTTTAAAGCAGAAATTGGCACATACCGTGACAACACAAAAAACGGAAGATAAGTTTGAGGTAATAATATAAGCAGGAGAAATACTAGGTGTTTAAAACCTGCAGTCTAGTATGATTGGTTATTCTAGTTAACATTAGGTGAGGAGTAATGTTACCTAGTTAACATTGGCTTCTTGACTGAAGAATTGCCAAGTGTAATGATTTTTATCATGGCATTCATATTTTACAAATTTTTCTCTAGTTTCAGTATTTTATGACAGTTTAATATAGTAAAGCATATAGTAAATTTAATGTTTTGTTTTTTAGTTTCAGGAAGATGTAAGATAAAATTTCAAAACGAGGGAGGTAAATTGCAGTGTAATACTGGGAATTCTAACCGCACTATTTTTAAGATGATAAAGCAGAATATTTTTGTCTCCGGCTTAATTTGGCAGTTTCTTTTTAGAATTGTAGTGTGTGTGTAAGAAGGTTGGAAGTATCAGATTAATTGCCTTTGTGTAATTGAAATGCATACAAAGGAGGTATGTATTTTCTGGAAATCATAAGTGGATGTGGTGTGGTCTGAAAGTTAGCAAGTTCTTTGTAAAGAACACTTCAAACATTTCACTCTGCTACACCCATCATCAAGCACAAACGTTTTTTAAACAGCATGTTTTATCTATACAAACTTAAGAAAATTTATTTCTCCTTTATGAACCTTCCCCCACCCCACCATACATGTCCCAGTCTTTACTAATGATGAAGTACTGAAAGCGCCTCTGCAGAACTATTTTTTTACGCAGGGGAAAAGCAAATAAGAATGTTTGGAGGCATCTAGTTTCTAGGAAAATGAATAGAGCCCAATTTTTTTTTTCTTTTATTTTGCTGCTTTTTCTCAATGAAAAATAGAGCCCAATTTTATAGTCCGTTCCTCTCCAGACATTGAATTATGATGATGGGTACTTGCTTCTGGATTGTTAGGCCTGGGATGAACTATTGACAGACGTAACCATCTCCAACGTAACCTCGGCGCCGGTGACCGTTCCTCCCGCTGGTCACCACTTCGGCACCAGGTGGGCGCGGGCCCTACAGGCTTCCCGCGCTCCCCCGCCCCGCGGAGCCGCACTGCCTTTTAACTCAAGTTAACCTCAAGTTAACCTTGTTAATTTGAATGATACGCACCTGAATGTGGTCTTTCAGCTGTTGTCTTCAGTTGTGGAGGATCCTGTCAAGAGTGGATCATTTATGAATCGAGAATCCCTGGGAAATTTTTTTTTTTTTTTTTTTTTTTTGCAACAGAGTCGGCATCATCATGGCTTGGGTTCAACCTGTTAAACTACTACTACTACTAAAAGTCTCAGGGTTTTATCTGATGTTTGGGGTACAGATTTTCCTACCTGTAGTGTTGGTCTTATAGCAAAGCCTTTTTCTCAATATTTTTATGTTTCAGGATGTTTTGAAATGCCTCAAGAAATCCTTAGTGGCTATGGGTATCTTTAAAATAGTAGTCCTGTGAAAAAGGATTGATTAGAGATGAGGTACTATGCTAAGAGTGACCACTAGCTTGTTTGTTTTTCTAATAAGTTTACTTACAGCTTTGTAACGATTGAAATTTCTTAGTCAATCGGTTTATAAAGTTTTATCATTTCTCTGAGCTAGTAATTTTGGTGTTGTATTTAATACTTACTGTTCAAAAAGATAAGTAATATGGATCCAAATGAGATACCAGTTAATCATTGATTTCATGCATCTCTCCCCCAAACCCCCTAGAAACCTGTGAAGGTCGAAACAGCTGCATTTCCTGTCTTAATGCCAGTGCTGTTAATACTACCTGCTTTTGGATAGAATGTAAAGAAGGTAAGAAACTTTGGGGTTGCAAAACTGTTTTGTTATAACATTTAAAAATACAATAGCTTTTGAACATTTGAAAGTTTTCTAGGACATTTAGGATATGGTGCACTATTTGTTTTGCAAATCCAATACTTCTTTAAAGTGCCAAATGCCTAGTACTCCCCCTGAAAATCTCTTTTTGTCTCCTGTCCACCCTTTTGATTCCTTAAGACTTGATAATTAAGGCTCAGTAGTTTGTTTTTTATGAGATGGGGTTTCCTGTGTTACCCAGGTTGGTCTTGAAATCCTAGGCTCAAGCAGTCCTCCTACCTTGGCGCCTCCCTAGTAGCCAGAACTACAGCTGTGTTCTTCCTTGCCTGGCTTTTTTGTTTTGTTTTGTTTTGTTTTTAAAGGCTGTTTTAAGGATTAAGAGTGCTTTGATAACACTAGAATTAGCTGTGAATGAAGGTTGTATTGAAAACTGAGACATTTATCTACAGATGTCCTGCAACATGAAACATGGAGAGACCTTATGAAACTGTTGGATGCTTAAGCATAGGGCAGAATGAGGTTGGGGGAGAGTTGACTCTTCCTGTTTGGAAGATCACCATTTTGGTGAGACCTGTGCTTTTGTTAATATAAGAGGTAGAGAGCTAGAGGGAAGTACACTGAAATTCAATAAGGTTCTTATTAGAACCATGAGATTACTGCATACGTTATTTTAATTNCACTGTTGGTGGGAGTGTAAATTAGTTCAACCATTGTGGAAGACAGTGTAGCAATTCCTCAAGGACCTAGAAGTAGAAATTCCATTTCACCCAGCAAACCCATTGCTGGGGGTATATCCAAAGGATTATAAATTGTTCTATTATAAAGACACACACACACAAATGTTCACTGCAGCACTGTTTATAATAGCAAAGACTTGGAACCAACCCAAATGCCCATCGATGATAGACTGGACAGGGAAAATGTGGCATATATACACCATGGAGTACTATGCAGCCATCAAAAATGATGAGTTTGTGTCCTTCATAGGGACACGGATGAACCTGGAAACCATCATTCTCAGCAAACTGACACAAGAACAGAAAATCAAACACTGCATGTTCTCACTCATAGGTTGGTGTTGAATAATGAGAACACATGGACACAGGGAAGGGAGGATCACACGCTGGGGTCTGTCGGTGGGGAACTACGGGAGGGACAGTAGGGGGTGGGGAGTTGGAAAGGTATAACATGAGGAGAAATGTCAGATATAGGTGATGGGAGGAAGGCAGCAAACCACACTGCCATGTGTGTACCTATGCAACAATCTTACATGTTCTTCACACGTAACCCTAAACCTAAAATGTTATAAAAATATTAATAATAATTTCCCTGTGCTGCTTCTCAAGGCACTCTAGTGCTTCCTTTATTTTCAGGGCACTTGGCATGACCTTTTGAAGGGATTCCTGTTTTACCCTGTTAGGAAGCATATCGGACTTTTTCCCCCTCAACGTTTCCTTTCCAGTATCTTTTTAAAAATATGAGAAACAGAAAAAATTGAATAAATAAACAGAATTTAACATTTCATAAGCTCACTCTGCCAATAGGAATTAATTTTTGACCAGAACAGAGGCAGAATGCAATTCTGATTATGTCACTCTTCTACTTACCATACTATAACAGCTTCCCATTGTTCTTGGAATACAGATCATATGCCTTAATAAAGCACACAGAGATCCTGCCTGCCTCTCCAACCTCTTCAGGTACCACAGTCCCCTCTCATTCTCTCTACTAGGACCAAACCTGTGTTTCACTGTTGAAAGGACAGGTTGCTGTTGTTGTTGTTTTTTGTACAGTACCTTTTTACCTGGTTACCTCCCATGCATGCTGTAAAATTGTAGCTTTACTGGAATTTTTGTAGGGAAAGCTTACATATTGCCACTTATTATAGATAATTATAGCTCTATGTACCTTTTTTTGTAGTACTTGTCCATGATGGTTACCTTGTCTCATAAGAATAGAAATGAAAAGTATAACTACAATTTAATGCCATTTTCACTTGTCAGATTAACAAAACTCCAAATGTTTTGACAATATATTTTTTTTAAACAAATGGGTATTGTTAGGTACTGCTGGTGGGATTATAAAACTAGTACAACTTCTGTGGAGGATAAGTTGGCAACATCTATCAAAATAATAAAATATTTGTATGCCTTTTGGCCCAGGCAGTCAGTCTACTTCTTCAAATTGATCCTATAGATTTATTTTCATAGTGTAAAATGACATATTTTATGTCTTTATTCATTACAGCATTTTTTTGGTAATAGAAAAGTACCAAAAATCAAATGTTCCTCAATAGGGGGTTGCTCAAATACATTGTGATATACCATTCAGCAGAATACCATGTACCTATAAAAACAACAAAAATTTGAGGAAGCTTCCTAAATACTGAGATAGAAAAATTTTTCTATTTTTTTAAGTAAAAAAACCAAAGCTACATGTTAAGATTTTTATTCTTTGGTAAAAATTTTATAGTTCTAGAAATTATATCACTACATAAATTTCAGAAAGCTCTTTAAGGTATTGACTAAATAGGGCTAAATTAACTTTTTTGTTAGATAAGTGTTTAATTTTTTTTAGGTCACAAAATGGGATTTTAGGCTGTACTCTTCCCTTTTATATGGGAGTGTGTGAGAGTTGGTGAATTTTGGAGATGGAATGCTCTACTGTAAGATTTTTTGGGGGAAGGCTGTCCCCTTACTCTTGCTCCATGTCTACCTATCCAGTAAAGTTGTTTTAGAAAGCATAAAAGACTAAGACAGTGGGATCTGGAATAGCGTTTCTACAGTTATTATAGAAAGTGCCTCTTCTGTTTACTAAGCATCTTAATAAAGACCCTGACCACTTCGCCTTACTGTCTCTGCCCTCTTTTTTTTTTTTTTTTTTTTTTATTTTTTTTTTTTTTTCTTTTTTTTTTTTTTTTTTTTTTTTTTTTTTTTTTTTTTTGGAGACAGTCTTGCTCTGTCACTCAGGCTGGAGCGTCGTGGTTCCATCTTTGCTCACTGCAACCTCCGCCTCCTGGGTTCAAGCGATTCTTCTGTCTCAGCGTCCAGCATAGTTGGAACTACAGGCACAGGCCACCACGCCTGGCTAATTTTTGTATTTTTAGTAGAGGCAGGGTCTCACCATATTGGTCAAGCTGGTCTTGAACTCCTGACCTCGGGTGATCCACCCTCCTTGGCCTGAAAGTGCTGGGATTACAGGTGTGAGCCACCTGCCCTCTTTTTAGATGCTGGCTGCCTTTCTTGATTGTACAGTAGTCTTTCCACAATTCTGAGATTTATTCAGTACATTAATGTGGACTTCTAATGGATAAGCATTGGAGGGATCCTGTGTAATATTTAAGTCAGTGGCAAAAGGAGAATGACAGGATTTGGTCTGTAGGTTTAACTTTGGGTTAGAACACTTCTAAAATGGTGTGTGGTGGTGTTTTTTTCTCCCCGCTTCTAAAGTGTTTGGGTTTGATTTCCTAGAGCTTAGTAGCAAAGTTAAAGGTAAATCAAATGTGGGATTGGTGTTACTAATCTCTTTTTTTCTCCCCTAACAGATAAGAGCTTTTGTTCACATAATTCAACAGCTGGTGATTGTCAGGTGGTGAATATGACAAACTTCTGTTCTGGTAAGTATTCATACTGGCTGCTGGGAAGCTGACCACAGAGGTGAGGAAGATCATTGCCTCAGAAAGCCTTTTTTCAATGCTTTGTTTGAAGCATTGCCATAATTCTTATCTTGTTAGAATTTGAATATGAATAGTATATTCATATTGATTGATTAAAGGATGATATTTGAAGCCTGGTTTAGTGATTTAGCTACAGTGTGGATGCTGTAAGTATAGATTGCTTTGTGTCTCCCCACACTTTTTTTTTTTTTTTTT